TTCACAGTAAAATTCATTATGAGTATAACTCTGTATATGTTATTAATCATTCACTGGAGATAAATAACTAGATCAAAAACCAGAAAAGGAAAGTAAAGGGGAATGCATTTTTTTCCTTTAATTCTTTAAATCTTCAAAATTCTCTTTACCAGAAGGGAATAACAGGTATGCCATCATCACCTTATTTTATGACAATAAAGTAGGAATTCCAGTTTTCATTCCTCAAAACCTACTTGCTGAACCCACATCTTAATCAACAATTTTGCTTTTCCCACAAATCTGTTTAAACAAAACCTTTTGCCAAAAAGTACCCAAGACTAAGAAGACATTGTTGCAGGGAAATGACCAGGACCCAGTCCGTATGTAGTGATGTTTGTGAGTCCCACCTGCTGCAACTGGTGGTCTCCTGTGTGTATCTCTCTCTACTTCATTCCTTGACTCTTGTGAGGAAAAGAGAGACTGTAAGCCTGGCTGGAGGAAATGTATAAGCCGAGGGTCCATTGTGGATGGATGCAGTTTGCGAGTTCTGTGTGAAGGACAAGTATGCCATGCATTTCAGGATATTGCCATTGGATCTATGCAGACAAGTTATAACTTTGTCATCACTAGAAAACTGTAGCCTCAGTTACTGCTTGAAGATTTTCATTTGAATAAAAATTGGAAATAAAAATTGCACTTTTTGAAATATGTCAATCAGCATTAAGTCCTTGGACAGAACATTATGTTAAATGCGGACATGTAAATGTGTGTGGGGTCTTTGCATGTGAGTGTTCATGTGCTGTGGGAAGGCCTGTTTGTGTGGGAATAAATGATACCACTGGCAGGGGCTTAGCTTTTTGTTATTTGACTTGACTTCATCACCCCTCTAGCTGTGGGTAATAGCAGCTGGTGTTCTATGTGAAGGTCCACCTATTCCATTCAGTAATATCTGGTTGTTTTTATTGTTGTTAGGTGTCTTTTGTGATAAGATTGCAGGTTTTTGGAATCCAAGTTATTCTGGGCTCATAATGCCACCGTTATTTCAGGGAAGATCAGCAGTCATTCCTCCAATAGGGGACGTCATGCAGGTGAGCTCTTCTCAGGGATCACGTGGTCTCTATTCCTGTCCCTGCAGGGAGTGAGACAAGTGAAGTAGCATTAAGGGCAGATTCAAATTGGCATAAGGAGTCACTCAGAATACTGTCTCAGACACAAAGAACATGTTCACCCACTTCCCACAATTCATAGGAAGTGGTGGAGAGAGGCACCTGGAGTGATCTGACCCTGGACTGTTACAGGACAAGGTGACATCCTGAGGTCAGGCAGTTCAAAGTCATGGAGTCCAGCCCGAATATGCAAAGGACTGTGTTCCCTTGATTCTCATTGAACTCCGTGTCTTGGAGAGGACAGTGTGTACATCTACGCATGGTGCATAGAGAAGTATCCAGTGTTTGTTTCCTCTGCACAGTTTTTCTTGTATTGTCTTTTCTGGATTTAATGAGGGTTGAGGGTCCATATCATAAAGGTGCCAACAGTGTACAAACTTCAGAAGTAGAACCGAAAACAAACAGACTAACCCTGAGCATCAAGTCTGAGGACTCACTTCCCAACGGCCTTCCCCGGAATCCAGAGGCTGGGAGGGACAAACCCTGCTGGGTAGCTCATCTGTGTCCACAGGGAGATGGACTTGCAAATGTGACTTGTTCCCTGCTCATGTACAGCAAATGGTGCCGTGTCCCTGAATTTCCTGGGGAGTCCCCACGGTCTGAGTCCTTCCTCTCTGTTCAAACCACGGGGACTGCATTGATTCCCCTTTTTTTCACTGTCAAAGGTCACATCCTTCCTGAGTCAGGCCAGCTGTGTCTGTTCCCCGTGGACAGTTCTCATGGTGTGTTCTCTGTGTGCAGGTTTCTTGTGTGAAGCTCAGCTGCTGGAATCTGAGAAGACATCACTCAGCCTCAGGGAACTCTGGACCTCTCTAGAAAAGCCTCTGGATCCAACTTCACTGAATATGTTCACTGGATCAGCCTCCGTGGAAGGGTGGCAAGTGTCAGCAAAAGAAGTGGAAAGAATCAGTACGACTGTCCATCAGTTCAAGGAAGATCCACAATTGCTCGGGAGAACCCTATCAGGACCATCTCTCTTAAAATGAGCAACCTGTAATATGAGAACAGGCCCTGGAGTAAGTACAAGAAGCTCTGTGACGTGATGTCAGTGTGACCTGAGACACACACCTCCCAGCAGAAAGGGGGCTGGGCTGCAGGGGGCGCTCAGGATCCACAGAATACAGGCCCCAGATCAGGAGCAGGTGCAGAGGAAGACCAAGGTTCCCTTTCAACCCTGGTGTTTCCTGCTCTTAACAGATGTCTTCTCCAATAATCATTACTGTTTCTTCTTTGGAAATACCTCCCCCCCGACACACACACACCTTGCAACTAGAAAGTCAGAACTATGATTCAATTCAGTTGTAAATCCTGGAATCCCCAGATTTCTGACACCAATAATCTAAAAAATCTAAAATTATCATCTGCATTTGTTTGTGTGCTTTCTACACTGGTGCACTCTTACTATAATGTAAAAACCAAAAAAC